TAGAGTAGCTGTGTACCTAGTCTAGATAAAATCTTCAACCAACTGATCAGTTTCCTGAAAAATGATACCCTATACTAGAGTAAACTCCCCAAATCCCCCTATCCTAGAGTAGTTTTGTACCTAGTCTAGATAAAATCTTCAACCAACTGATCAGTTTCCTGAAAAATGATACCCTATTCTAGAGCCAAACGCTCTGATTTATATACCCTATCCTAGAGTAAACTGCTTGAAAACCATACCCTCCTAATAACCTCCCAAATCTGCGCCATTTTGTTATACGTTACAAAACATTTTTTTCCGCCGCCTACGCGTTTGAAGCAAGGCCGGAGGGGGCCCTGGGTACGTCTATTAGTAAACAGTCAACTTCGTCTAACACGGACACCTTTGAGACAAGGACTGTGTGTCCGTCTTAGAGAGATGACTGTCTCATAAAGGCACGGACTTTAAACGCCGGGTGTCCGTCTTAGCTAGGTGCCCGTCTTAAAGAGGTGTCCGTTAAAAGAGAGTTGACCGGTACCGCGGAGAATGAGTTGCTTCAGTAATCAGAACGAGAGGCGCCAGTGCTATTGATTTTACTGCAAATGATTTCCTTTGTTTCGTATTCATGCAGAAAGAAAACGCTCTATTTACGTCGTAATACGACAGAGCGACGTGACGATATGCACGCAGTGGTAAAATCCTACCACAGTTTCACGGTTTTTATTTGGATAGAGAAAAGAAATCCAAAAATCACCTGTCTGAAGGAAAACTTAATAAAAAGAGGATAATATCGCGGCTAAACGCCATCGATAATCTTCAGACGTGACTGCATCATTAACTCTATATTTGTACAGGAAATTAAACTTTATCCGCATCCAACGCAATTTTTTTGTTCTCATTAAGAAGCCTTTTTTTAAAGGAAAACGATGAACACTCCTTCCAATAACTTCTTTCGTTCTTAGACTGTTAAATAGCTCTTTCTAAGTTTTTCGCTGCCAAACAACTGTTATGAATGAATGCCAATATTTCAAGAAGATTAAGCCGGAACAATTCTTTCTTAACAGTTATGAGATCTCTCACGTCATTATCAGTGAAGTCATAATAATATCTATTAAAAACTGCATTTGTAGCTTATGACACAATGTTAAAGGAGCGCTCAAATAGGCTTTCCAATCATCAAAACCGGAATTTCTCTTTCTCTCCTTATATTACACCAAGAACCATAACGGCTCTCGATTACACTTGAAAGCTTATTTTCCGGTTATTTTCAACCTAGTATCTTTCTGCGCAAGAAGAAAACCAATATCTTCTTGCATTTTAAATTAAGCCGACCCGTCATCAATGGCAAAACACGCAAGCAGAAAAGTGCCAGACCATCTCTTTAAAAAGCAGTGATGAGGGAATAAAAAAGAAATAGGGTCTCCATAGGATTAACTAGTCGTAACTGACGGGCAAAAGATTTAGTCGTTAGGCGTAAGAAAAAAGAAAATTTAGCTGCTCGTAAAAAGGTTTTCCATATTAGATTCCTTGCCACAATTTGTTGGCTAGAAAATGTACGTCGGGAACATTTGCTAGGATGTTACCCATCTTCTCTCGTGATTAATTTTTCTTTTTTTAATCTGGAAAATGTCTTTAAACATCTGCAGACATTAAAAATGTGTCTGACGAGAACGGAATTAATTTTGAACTAACATCGTGTGGTAATCGAAAAGGAGGTACTAATCTTTAGCCATCAAAATGCCAAATGTTAACCGTTAACTCGACTGACCCTAAATGTCTCCGCCCCATTGAGACGAGTCTCTGACAAAACTAGGAAAGTTAGTGCCAGCTACTGGGAAGAAAATATGCTGGAGGGAAAGAATGACGGATACTGCACCGCGGGACCAGGGACCCGTTTCTCCAAAGTCCCGTAACTTTTCGGGCTCGAAAAGCTGTTTATGTTTGCTGCGTTTGCATTCAAGATCAAAGTTTCAATAATTTTGAAAATGATACAATGAAACTATCACTTTATGAAGCAAAATTCACTGGTTTGTGAGCTACTATTCAACATGTTTTGATTTTAAAATTTGCCTTCGGGCGCGAAAAGTGTCCGGGCCTTTTGAGAAACGGAGCCCTGGGGCCCTTTCTCGAAAGCCCCGATAATTAACGGGCCCGTAAACCTGTTGTTTGTTTACAACTGAAAGCCGGAACTGTCTTGGTAGATAGCCAGTTCGGGTTAAAAACTTGACACTTCTGACTATATATAACTAGTTAAAGACCACTACGGTCACTAACTTTTAACGTCAAATCTTAACTGAGAAACGGGGGACTTTTCTAAGGGACTTTTTGTGCGGGAATATTCACGCAGTAGCAGTGTAAGCCATAATCACCGAGGAAACCATGTCTCTATATGACAAGGGTGAAATGAGCTTTGAGCTCGTTGAATTTACTTTTATGGAATTCTGTTTCCTTGTTGTGTTTGGCACCGAAGACAGACTTCAATAGCTTGATGATTATATGTGATAAGATGAAATCGTATCTACTTTTCAACAGTATATTTGGTCTTCGTCTGCTATGCAACAATATTACACCGAACTCGAATGCTATTACACGCTGATTTAACTCTCTCTTAGCCTGTTCTAGGCATAAGATGGTGAGGAAGACGTGAAAAAGAGAACGGAGCAGAAAAAATAGGAGAGAGAGCCCTCTATCTATTTAATTTTTTTCGCTATCACCAAGCATCCCCATTTCGCGGGGCCCGGCGCTACCCCCTTTTTGAACGCCTGGAACAGGCTAGTGAGGCGGGATCTGTGAGCAGTCAGCAGACATATGACCAAGCCGTGACAAAAGAGAGGCTGTATTTTCATCCTGCCGGGACCAGAGGCAATTCCCTACAGTTTCATCATGTACATGATGAACTAGATCTTAGCAGTTTACATTCAAGAGCCATAACAAGACTATCTCTTGATCCTTTAGCACCCGTGGGGGGAGGGGCGGGTGTAGTAGGAGTTTATTCTCACTTCAAGTCTGTCGGAAAACCTTTTACATGTCGTGCCATCCTTTGAACTACTAAAAACCACTTCCTTGTGGTTGCCGTTCATAATCTTCTACAAGGTAATTGAATTTTCCCACCAACCTTTGTCTCCCGCATAAACTTTCTCAAGAGACCAATGACAACTCAAGTGCCTTTTTAAAGTTCTGTTGCAACCATGTAATATCAAACATTATTTCCAGTATTAGTTGCAGTAAATGTTATGATCTACTGCTCGTATCTACTATCGTTGCATCTCTTCCAGACCGCCTACATGGCCGGACAGTGTATTAGTTCATTATGCCGGAACCGAGATAATCAGGGCGGGTGCTCTTGTCAAAAAAGCAGCTACGCTTCTTTTGATTGATTAAGCTTCTCAGCAGTGCTAAATGGTTTGTCCATGATGGCAAAAATAGACGTCACTAACAATCTTAGAATCTTTGTTCGTCACGTTTCGATTTTACGTTTTTAAAAAACAGTGAAAACGGCAACCGACTAAAAAATGGAGCGACTCCAAGGGGAAAATTATGCAGACGATCTTTTGCAAAACCTTTGCGATTTTGCTAAAATTTTGCACGTCAAATGGGAGAGTCGGATTTTTGCCTGATTTCTCACGGTCGTCTTTTTAAACAATACAGCTCATAGCGTGGCGGCCAAGTATTGCCACAAACAAACCAGAGATGTATGTAGTGTCTAAGGTTTTGCCTTACACAACGCCCAAACGAACATACAATCAAGACCCTTATCATAAATATTTAACTAAAGGCTTAAAAGCAGGGTTTTCTACACTGAGTCTCTCCAATTTGGCTAAATCTCCAAAAACAAAAAAAGGTTCTAAGGCGTAGAAGTTTCGATTGGTCCTAAAGATTAATACAACAACATCATGTTGGCATAATTTAGTCCATAGAATTACGCAAAATCTTAAGAGTTCAAGTTGAACTAATGAGTTATTTCCCTTTGTAAATAGTCAACTTACGCAAACGTTTACTCTGAACGTGAAACCTATGACCCGACGTCACAAATCATATAGGTGGTCATGTGTTTTTCATTTTTTTTTTGGCGGGGGGTGGGGGTTCGAGACTCCCGAAGACGAACGCCTCATCCTTTTCAGATGAAATGTGACAAGAAAATTCACAAATATAAAAATATCTAAGGCTTTTAATCTTTGGAACAGTGGAACAGTTCTGCATTCGGTTAAAATCACATCTACTTGTGAAGACGGCAGTTTTAATTCTTGAAAAAGAGTATATACTCTTTAGAAAATGTTGCCAGGTGGAACCAGTGCTCAATTTTTTTTGCTCAAGACTGTGAATAGCTGGAGCAGCCAATCGCAAACCAAACTCAACGACGGTTCTCTGTCGCAGAGACCCTATGCAAGACAAAATTGATAGCTATTGGGCTTGCTGTGTATTCATGTGATTCACCTAACTCTTAATCATTTTTCCAATAACTTAAATTTAAACTTTGTGTTAATTGCCTTTAGGGAATTTCGGGGTTGATTTAAAGGCAGTCAATTTTGGGGCACGTTTAATAAGGGAAAACAAATTTTACCGCGGCTGAATAATTTTTCCTCACTGTATTAGTTCACGACAAAAATGTGCATAAGAGCACGTTTTAACTTCTAAACTTCATTTAAAAAGGCAGAAATATATTTCCTAAGAACGACTGGGATTCATTCAAGCTTGCGTTGAAGCGATACAACCGTTGCAAGAAGAAATTATCTAGCAGTGCAAACATAATTCCAAGTGTTGTTCTCATTTCTTTCCCTTGCTACGATCGAAAGTTGCTTTCACAGAAAAATCGTGAATTGAGTTACCGGTACGTCATTCGCGCGTAACTTGTTCAACGGGTGCAAAATCCACGCGAACTTGTTAGAGCCGAATTACATTGCGTGTTCTCTAGTTAAAGACCTGGCACAAGTTCTAACTATATTGTCTAGACGGTGTAACCTTGACCAGCTAAAAAGAGCTGAACTGAAATGTCAAGAAAGTCACTAATCTTTGACTAGCTTGCTCTTATGCAAACATGAAATTCGGTAGCGTGATGATTACAATTACATCATCGACGGCATTTTAATACTCTGGCATACGATACCGAGACGTGATTTACATCAGTAAAACTTAAACTCTTGTTGTTAAAAAAATACTTTATTTCGTAAGGTTTCTCCAGGAAACACATCGATAAGAAATTATGAATGTCGCTATTTGGATTCGGCAAAAAAATATAGACATATTATTTTTTGTTATTAGATTTACAAGGGGTGTCTCAGCGCATTGTTCAGCTGAAAATGAGACTTATTTTGGCGGCACGCTACGAAATGAAAAATAAACAATCACTTGCCGCCCCGCTTACTTCTACCCTGCTAACTCCATGCGGAAAAATTACGTGGCTTATTTTAAGCCGCTAAGAAAGGAAGTTGCAATTAAAAAAAAAAAAAAAGGAACACTATCATGCTTTGTTATCTAATAATGAGCTAATATATCCTGGGCGCCTTATTGAGCACGCGTTTCGCCTGCCCTGTGCTTTGCAAGCAGAGCGTTGAGTCTCCTCAACTTGAATGTTCATTTCGGTCCGTTTTGATATGTAAAAATAAAGCTTAAGTATCAAAAAAGTTAATATTATTTACATTTACGAAAACGCCGAACCGTGCTGCTAAAATGAATATTTTACGAAGATTTGTCCCTAAAAAGCTACACCACAATCATGCATTGGCTTCCACCTAAATAGAATTTGGCGATTTTTCGAGGCAACATTGTATGCCGTTTAATGAATCGGGAGAACGGATTTCTTTCTTACTAAAATAATCAATTCTAAGTCCAAACAACAGCACGGACATTGGCTAGCTGTTCTAATTAGGGCTTAATGAACCATCACAATTTCACATAGAAATAAACAAAATAGAAACGAGAAAAAAAAAGGCTATCGTAGCCTTCAACCGTTTAAACCGTGGATCACGGTTCAAGCCATTTCTAGCTTTGACTACTCCGAGTTTATAAGCTAATTTAAAGAACAGCGAACTACGAATATAATGGCAGCCTTTTTCGAGTCTCTGTTTGACGCTGTGTAATTAGCGAAGAACAATGAGGGTTTTTTTCGTGGGCGGAGGACAAAAAAGATCATATTTTATCGCACCACACACTGGATTATGCATACGACAAGTCAAGGGGTAAAAACACAATTAAATTGTCAATGGAAACTCGAGGTCTTATACCCAGTGCCATTTAACCCATAATGTCGCGTCTCTTATTTAGAGCGAATTAAAAACTACTGAAAACAAAAAATATCTACTATAATCTCGTAGCAAAAATAGCCTGTTTGTTCTCGCACCTAAAACAATAACAAAACCTATATCCTTTCGGCCACAAAGCCGGACTTTCAAGTTTCGCTGCGAAACAATTTCTTTTAGTGGTTACTTATACTCCCGATCATACGCGTATGAAAAACTGTATAAGAATGGTTTGAGCGCGTTACTTTTTAAAACGCCATTATATACTTACTTAACTCTTTACACTCTTTTAAAAATGTCACTTGAAAAACTATGGTTTATAGATGTGTTCGCGTTCGTTCAGAGCCACGTCAAATTTCCGGGGGATATTAGCACAGATTCGACGTCGTTCAACATGTCCGAATTAAAGTCCAACCCAACTCCAAGATCGTCTGTTTCCATATTTGTGGAGTTATCTGTTCCCTCCATTACTCCAATGTCTACATTTGTGCCGGGTAAGTCTAAAATGTCTGGGAGTTGACGCCTAACCGGATCCGCGCGAAAAGCTTCCTTTGAGTTGTAATTCGCGTCGAACATCGGTTGTTGCGAATCGTTCATGTCCACATCTTGGAAGTAATTACCTCCAGTCATACCGAGCCCAGAATCGAAGGAGTCGTCTCTTATGTGGCCACCATTAGTTACAGGCGCGTTATCTTGCGCAGTGAGAAAACCAGGCACTTCTCGTGTCAAGTTGCCGAGTAGAGACGGCTTCGTGCCTCCCTCCTCGAGAATATCGCGTTTCAATCGGATCTCTTGCTTCAATAACTCCTGCTGTCGCTTCAAAAGCTCCTCGCGTTCTCTCTGAAGGCGTTGAAGTTGCATGGTTCGGTGTCGATGCATTTCAGGCGGCATATTCGAAGGTCGAAGGCTGTCTTGGCCGCGAACTTGCATCGCCATTCTCGGATCGATCCAACTTGTTGTTCTTTCTATGTGGTTGATATAGTAAATATCGCCCTCTGGTGTTATCGCCTGTTCCCAACCATCGGGTAAGTTGCCCGCTGCCTGAGCGTTGTTTAAATTCGAAGTTGATTGAGTTTTTCTCGGGTCTTGCCAAGTTGTTATTTGTTCGAAGTGACTGCAGAGAAAGAACAACAGGTCTTTAATCTTACTATCGTAAAATCAACCTATCTACACACACTGTCAAATACCAATTGGCAACCCGCCATATTGAGACACGTCTCAAAGTAAAACAGGTTTCAAATGCTTCCAGCTTTCCGAAGACGATAAGACACCAAATTTCAACCGAAGTCCCACATACTACTACTTCTAAATTCGATAAACCATTAAGCTTTAATTGGCCGCTTTACACGTCGAGCGTCGTTAAGTGAAGAAATTTACTTAGCACTGACGTTTTCCTGTGCTTGCGTTTTAATATTTAAAACAGGTAATTTAACTGACGTTTAGTTAAGAAACTGATTATGCACTAGCTAGCGCGCTAAAGTAGCAACAAACTTACTTCATGAAATAGCGCTGACCGTTAGAAGTTGTTCTCATTTCCCATCCAGGAGGCATTTGCGCGGGCTCTTCGAGTAAAGCAGTGTGATCAAAGGACGTTGATCGCTGGTGATGAACCGGAGGAGCCAAGGAGTGGTTTGGAGGTCCTTTAAGACTCGCACGAACTGTTAGTGAAGCTGGCGACGAATGCGCTCTTGAGTGCGAAATTGTAAGGCCCGAGGGATGTTCCTGTTCGGGTGATAACCCGCCATCTAGAGGAGGCTGCTTAAAGAACGAAGGAGGCAGCTTCCGCAATCGCATCGGTAGCGAATTCGACGGAGTTGTTTCGGGAATTGTCTTGGAGACGTTTGCTGGGTTGACGACATCGAAAAGCGCTTTGAGATCATTATCCGAATCCTGGCGAACATGCACCACGCAGTTACCGTTCTTTCTATCCATTGTAAATGAAATAACGTGGGTTACGTTCTGTGCCTTGTCTGTTTAAGGCCTCTGACGCATCAAAAAGTAAATCGCCCGATAGCGCCGTAATCACTCAAACTGTTGTGTACCAAGCGCAGTATCAAATATATACATACTAGAACTACACGCTATTATTTTGACTCGTCGCAGGGGGCCTGGTTTTCGGGTGGGAACGTTACGTCATGATGAGCAGCAGATTCTGTTGCTATAACAACTGTACGTGCCAACCAATTAGCTTGCGCAACTTGATCAATCGAGGGAAAAGCAATGAAAGACGCCATTGTGTGCGTCTATTTCAGAGAACGACGTAAGCGTGCTGCAACTCTGCCAGGCGATTTGCAAGAAAATCGTCTGCGTGGGGGTGCGTGGGCTCAACGTCAGTTTCTGGTCTTTTCTAGTAAGTAGTGGCTACTTTTTGAGAGAAAAAACGTCTTCAGTGACTCCTTAATTGAGTGTCAAAAAGCGCGCCAGCCGTGTCTTAAGTTCTATTTTCGCGGCGCCGGCCTCTGAAGTCTCTGTCAAGAATAGCGGGGTCCAAAATACAGTGAAACAATGACAATTAATGTAAACAAGCCCCGGGTGTTAAAATATCAAATCAAGCTCAAGGTCTTCTGATCGACCTTGTTTGAAAACTGTGGTCTAAGTGAAGAGATCGGGAAGGAAGTAAAAGTGACGAGCTGTCGAAATTGTTAAATGTGGGTTTTTTTTTGCAAGCAACTTTCAGTTTACGTTTCCTCAGAGTTATCACGTAGACCAGTAGCTCTGAAGTGCTGGGATGAGGGGCTCGGAAGATCTCGGAAAATAACACTTCCTTTTTTTCCACTTTTCTACAAATTACTAAAACGCAGTATTACGAAATGTTATTTGTGGGTCCCTTGTAACTAAAAGTTGTTTGATACACTTTTCCTTTTCAATTGAGCAGAACGATTAAAACGCTGTAGACACGCATTGATAGACCCGGGGGGGAGGGAGTGTCTTCCAAGTTAGGTCAGCCTCGTCCCCTGGATGCTTTTCCCTGGCTTTAGAGATGGGACGCCCTTGATGGATCGAGCGTATGTAAATATGATTTTTCTTGTATTTTTCTTTCTTCCTTTTTATCCAAAACGATACCAAATTTAAACAGACAACCAATTTAGAGATAGAGTGATTTTTATTGCGATACTGAGACATTGGCATTGTATGCTTTCCTTCATTCTGGCTGTTCCCTACTTCTGTGGCCTAAGAAGAGGCCTCTGTTATAGCAGGGAACTCTAAAAAATGACACCCAAATCTAACTGAAATTACTCCCGGGAGAGCTACCCAAGAAAGTTTTATACGGGAAGCAGGAGCCGATTGTCTCCACCCCAAGGTCCAAACCATTACCCTTTCATATAGCATTTTTGACAAAAAGGTACATTCCCTTCGTATACCTTCTATTGACAAATTGTACCCACCCGTCTTACATACCTAGTCAGCCCGGCTTAACCTTTGAAACTCTTGTAAATGCACTGTCTAAACCCCGAAGTTTTCTTGACTTTTTCACAGCCATAGGTCCTTTCACAATCTCATATTTCCCTATCCTTTTATATACTTCAGCTAGTGAAATCCCTACCTTTTGATTTACTCAAAGCGTGAAAAAGATAACCTTTTGGGCATAGCCTTCCCGTAAAGGTCCTCATGGGGAGTACCCCCGGGCAATAACTCTTTCAATCAAGACAATCTCTATCCTGACCCCTTTGATATGAGAGAACCCCCCGGGCTTAATGCAGCCGCCAACTGTCTGGTCTGCACTGAGTGACCCCTCTATTGACAAGGCTGAGCGACCGGAAAACACTTTGTTTCCCTTAAAAGTAATCTGTGGTTTGCGGTTTTGTGATTATACACTTCAATTCTTTGTTGTGGCATGGTTCACTTTGCTTCAGTGATACGGGATTGCTCTATTTAATTCATTACTGCACGAAGTAAGAGATAAGGTCTTAACGCTCAATTTCCTACCCTGATTGCCGGCTTTTGCCGCCTACTATCTTCTGTGTGGGGCGGGCACTATTTCACCGCGAGCTTTAATTTGGCTGTCTGGTTTCTGCACGCGATTGTTTATTCCGATCCAGCTCATAACTGTTAATTAAAGTGAATCAACATAAGCAAATCTAAAAGGTTCACAAGCCTTGCCACCCGTCTTAAGTCTTGGTTTTGGCCTATTTTTCGAGGAGGACGTACTCCGGCCTTAAGTTTTGAGTCAGCGTACGGTGTCGTGTTGGCTCGCCTGCGTGGCAGGCGCTTGGAAGCAATAATCGGCACAAGTTAGAACGAGGCCGAATTCTCCAGGAGTACCCCCCGGGTCTGAACTAATAACCCGTCGGGGTAAGAACAGCATCGCGGCGCTGGCGCGTGCATGGACAATAACATCACGCGATACTATGAGAGAACAAGTTGTTTCGCTAAAGGGGTTTAAGAAAGTAATTCTTCAAGTGAAAAACCTCTTAAGATAAGCTTTAAAGTGCCAAGTAAATCTCGTCTAGACTTTTCTCGCCACCAAAGAAAAAAAATGAAGTCTAAACAATCCTACTTTATTTTCAAAAACTACTGTCATTAAACAATCGTTGATCACTGACGCAAGGTTGTCGTGTCGAATGATTGATCTGTTTTGCCGTCCCGAGTGTAAAATTATTTCACTCACGCAGATGATCGCCAACAAAACAACATGTATGAAAAGTGTTTAAAAACAAGTGTACTCGACGAGGACCTGTCAACCTTGACAAGTGGCAAAGGGTTCGATCAGGCTCCGCAAGACAAACATTATCTGACGAGCTTGATGGCTACAAACTTTTGGTCTTATCTTACGATTTGACACTAAGGTTAAAAAAAATTTTGTGCGTATCACAGGCAGCCCAAGCTCAGTATAAGAGCACTTGCGTAATCAAAGGATTTGAATGGGAATTCAGGTAATAGATTTAAGAAAGCTAATAATCGTTGGAATCCTCAATGGGAAAAAGCTTAACTCTAATTCAATGGAGTGTTCTTGCTTGCTGTGTGGTTATTTTTCCGATCCGTTGCGATTTAAGCGATTTCTTCTCACCCGCTAGTTTCTCGGAGAGAACATTGGCGAGAACATACGATTAATAGACTATGTTATTCGTTTTACCAAAGAAAAAAATATCCCAGGGCTATTATTATTTCTTGATTTCGAAAAGGCGTTTGACACGATTGAATGGCCTTTTATCATAAATTCTCTTCAATACTTCGGTTTCGGCCCAAGTGTTGTAAACTGGGTCAAATGCCTTTACAGCAACATAGAGAGCTGCTTCTTAAACAACGGCTGGACAAGCAATTTCTTTAAAATTGAAAGAGGGGTCAGGCAGGGGTGCCCGTTGTCTCCATATCTATTTGTTCTTTCAGTCGAAGTCTTAGCCAAGGCTTTTAAAAGAAACAGCAATATCAGAGGAATACACGTTAACCAAGAGGAAATTAAAATAAGTCAATACGCAGACGATACAACCTTAATATTGAATGGTTCACAAACGTCGCTCTCAGCTGCTCTCAACACACTTGACGATTTTGGAGAAGCCTCGGGTCTCAAACTCAACAGTAAAAAAACAGAAGNTAATCGTTGGAATCCTCAATGGGAAAAAGCTTAACTCTAATTCAATGGAGTGTTCTTGCTTGCTGTGTGGTTATTTTTCCGATCCGTTGCGATTTAAGCGATTTCTTCTCACCCGCTAGTTTCTCGGAGAGCTCGCATTTTCAGACAAACTGAACACCCTCAGTTACAAATACTTATACTTATTTTCCCTTTCAGTGCTAAACAGGGAGTATAAGAAATGACATCGCAGACACGATCTTTTAATAATGGAGAACTGGGATGTAAAACTGACACCATCCTGACTACTGAGGTGGGCCCTCTGTCTGTTCTACTACACTCCTTCGCCTGCAGACTAAACTACAATTCGTGACATTAGAACTTGGGACATTTGAACGTTGACATGTTGTGTTCGACGTCCTTTTCCGTTTCAATATTGGCCTCGAAACTGGACAATCATCTGACTGAAAAATCATTACAAAACAACACTGGAAGAGCGAAAGGCAGGTACCAGAGCAGTGTGACCCAAGTTGGGTGTCCCTGATCGTACGATTAAGTTTTTTTTTCTACAGAACGTACAGGCGTTACCAGTTACACGTTTTTCAACTTGGGAATAATAAGCAACACTTCCCTAACCTGTTCAATATATTTGGTCTCGTGCGAAACCAAGAGCCATTATGGCCCTTAACGGAACTTGTTCCGACCGCTGATAAACAGTAGTTGAGGGAAGAAAGGGTTCTGAGTGAACCGCACTATGTGAGCATTTATTGAACTGTCTCCGTTTTATGCATTGAATAGCTATGATTGCCTATGAATAACGAATTCTGGCGTAATGGCCAACACCTGATCGGAGGCAGTATTTTGTGACTCCTGTTTATGAAATGAATGATCATAAAACTCTAACGGTTTGGTATTAATTAATTAATTAATTAATTAAAGGATTAATCTACCGGATTTGCATTTGCCAGTTACGCTGCAGTGTGAGCACCTCCTAACCTGTATTCCGAACCATATAAGAGAGTTACAAAATTTTCTGAGTGGGTATGTTTGTCACCCCACAAATTTCAACCTAAATGGTATCAGAGCTATACTTTAAGAATAAGAAGAGGAGGGGGGGAGGGGCGGTCTCAAGAAAAAATTTTTTCGGCGCTTCAAGGTTTTCAGGGGAGGATGCTACCAGAGACGTACGTACAAAGACTGTGAGTCCTACCACAGCCGCACAGTCTCGACATGAAGAGCTGTCTTAGAGAAGCTCTAATTGACCTAATTCACGTCCTCAGGAGCCCGGATCCTGACGTCCTATAGTCCTCTTATCCGCCCATCACTGAACATTACAATGAACCGACGGTTGAAGCATTTCTAGACTCTGGCCTGGTCACTTTTTTGTAGCCCCTTTCTTGTTGTTTTTTTTTTCTCTTTTTAA